ACGAATCAGTCGAATTTGATGAAATTTTTACAGATTATTGATACATTCATAAGGTATCTTTTGGATCTATTAAAATTTGCCCAACAATTTCAGGGGCGTGCCCACGGGCTATGTCGGATAGTTTTTGCACAAAAAAATATCGCCCAGTAGATTTTTCGTAATTATGATTTCTTTTTTTCAAATAAACAACTGAGAATGCAACTTTTTTTCTATTGAAATTTTTCCGAATCTACCTTCGTTTTGAAGGAAAAAAATAAAAACCATATCTCTTACATCTACATATGAATTTTTTTTTGTTCACTTAATAATCATAATGCCCGTTTTGGCAGAAAAAAATGAAAAAAATTTGGGTGAGTTTTGTTTATTCAGTGTTAAATAATTAATATTAATTTACAAAAAATATTCAGGAAGACATTAAAAACTCACTTTGTGTTTACGATAAATAATAATGGTTTATAACAATTGTTGAAGATGTTGACCAATTGCTTCAATGCAAAGATTGCATCGTCGGTTCGTTTTTACGATATTAATAAAAAAATCGATTTTTCAAAGAAATTTCAACACCCTGTATCTCGAAAACGAAGAGTTTCCGGACTTATGTTTATCGAGCAAAAATGTTTATTCTGATGTCCTCTACCATCCCTTGAGGTTTGTCGGTATGTTTATGGGACACCCTGTATATCAAAAATTCAATAGGTAGTGATTCAGTTTTCTTAAATAACCCAATGCAGTGGTAATCAAATTGTGATAGAATAATGGACGTTGTATTGATCAACCATTCAAGCTGTAGAAGTGCACACTGTGAATGTAACATAGCAGGGCTAAAACATATTTACTTCAAACTCCTGGGACAGAATTGTAGAAGAGAAAATATATTCAAAATATATAGAGGGGTAGTTTATTTTTATCGCTTGGAGCGCACGAGAGGGAATCCCTATAATGTTCAGAAAACATCGTGCGTTCCTAGGGAGGATAGGGATAGGAGGTAGGTATTGGAATTTTTTTTGAACTTCTGGAGATTATATGTTGTTGGGAATACTTCCTCAGGCAATGAATTCCAGAGCCTAGCCGTTCTATGGATGAAGGAGTTTTGATAAAGTGCTGTTCGACATCTTTCGAGGTTGACAACGAAAGGATGTGCTGACTGGGCTAGTCTAGTTCGTCTGACTGGTATTGCTAGTGAGGGGATGATAGCAGAGATTTCCGAAGCACATTTCCCGTGGAAGTATCGATAGAAAAGTGAAAGGTCGCCGACCTTTCTACGGTGTTCCAATGATGTCAAAGAGTGAGTGAGTGTGGCGTCACCCACCAGGCGGATGGCTCTTCTCTGGATGGAATCTGAGAGCATCAGCGTATGTTTTGGTGCTGAACCCCATATGTGGGAACAGTATTCTAGAACAGGCCGTATCTGCGCTTTGTAGATCATGAGAAGCTGTTGAGGTGTAAAGTAGCTTTTCGCACGAAACAAGAATCCGAGTTTTTGTGAAGCAGCTTTTGCGATGGATCTGACATGATTATCCCATGAAAGAGTGTTGCTGATGGAAATACCGAGCATAGATATGGTGGGCTTGGTGGAGATGGTGGTGCCAGACATTACAATGTCGGGTATACTATTGATATTGTGCAAAACTCATACATAAAATGTATAATTCATGTCCAGTAGTTGAACAATTCATGTTCAATAGTTATACAATTCATGTCCAATAGTTGATGTACAGTAGATGTACAGTAGATGTACACATGTACATGTACAGGATGGACATCCGAACTGGTGGCCTCTGGATTTGCAATGTACATCATTGGATAGCTTTGTGTTACCTTTTAGAGTAGAAGGTCTGCTTCTCGTTTGTTACTAGAAATCAAGGTTTTTTTATCTACTGGTGATAGTGCAAAAAAAAAGAGGTTTATAAGTGATATCAATTTTCATTCGATTTTTCGAGTCGTTAATCGATAGTATTGTTCATGTATGCTCTGCTAATTGAAAATAATTTATAATAGTCTCTTTAAACACTTGTATCTCCTCTTTAAAAAAGATATTAATGTGGAAGTATATATTGTGTGAATGGGAGATCTAACTTCAATAATTCAAAACATCAATCATTTCTGCCACAGAATGTTCAGAAATTGAGCGTAAAATATTAAATTTTATATTTCCCTATATATTTCAAAAGTTACAGGGCGATCAATTTTTCTGCTGGCCGTTTTCTTGTGCCGGTGACTGTACATTCACCACGTGATTTTTATTGTACAATTTTCCCTGATAATACCTTCTGCTGATGAGAGACTATAATTAGCTCGAAACATGTTCAAATTATCGTTTGATGATATTGAATCTAGTGGAGATGATTTATATGTCCTGATTCCTGAAAAATCTCTATAGGCATGATTGATTGATTGATTGATTGATTGATACATTGATGGATTGATTGATCGATGTCTGATCACTATATCCCGCACTGATGAGGACCAATAGCCCGAAACCGGTCTACATGTGTGAATTTGTAAAAAAAAATTCATCAACAGTAGGAATCACATTGAGTTCACATTTTATTCTACTCTAATATTCTGGCTATTTTGTGATTGAAAAGTACAAGGAATATATTTTTTATATGCTTGAATCAAGAAATGATACAGAGATGGAGACTCCATTTTTCAATAATCATACAATCATTAGGTATTTCCTTTCTATTCATAAATATAAAAAAAAACGTTTAAGAAGGATAAAACCACAACCAAAGGATACGTCTTCAATTCAAAATCAACTTTTTTGTCAGTCTTCGAATTTTTTCGTCTCAAAGCTCTCGCACACCTCCCAAATGGAATCTAAGTAAGCGGCTTCCATTTTGAGTGAGCACATTATTTTCTCCACCGAATTGAACATAGAGATTGTCATGAAGTGAATTTAAGCCTATATTCAAATGATCTATATGTATCAAGAACTGCGAAATGACTATTGTAATCATGAAATGCTTTCCGTTTTCTGAGAAGTTCCTCAATCATATTGTGTTATTCAACATCCTTTGAATTATTCACCCCGTCAAACTTCGTAACAGGTTGGATTGTTGCGAAACATCAGAATGTCGAAAACTCCTGTTGAAGTTTCTCAAGCGTAGTCAAGTGCACCAAAGTAAACTCGAAACATTGGAGTTGCATAATATTTTATTCATCAAATTTAACAATCTGTATCGAATTCAAGTTTGTAGAAGCAAAACTCATACGTATTGAACATTGAAATGGAATAATCACACATCACCATCACTACATATACATGTTCTTCACCCTATGCCTTCTTATTGGAATGTCCTTTCAGCTCCTCTTCGGATAAATAGCATAATTCGTAAATGATTATTGTAATCTGTGTATTTTTATGAGCGGAGAAACATGACCTCTGAAATTATTTGAACGAAAAATATGACTCTTAATAGTACACTCAGTATACAGTCTGTAGACGCGTTTATTCAACTATCGATGAATAATTATTTGCGGTAACTGTTTACCGTGAACAAAAAATGATATTTTCTCTTTATGTGATATTTGCAAACCTTTTTACCGAATTTCACTTCTATGTGAACAAATTTGAATAGAATTATGATCACAGAATGACTTTTCTAAATGTTTTTGGATGGAAGTTATTTCTCAACCTTTAATACTGTGGTACGTTTTCGATGAGCCACCCAGTATTGATATTTACGATCATAGGAAAAATAGTGTACAAAACTCAATGGAAAGTGTATTTCCTAAGCTCGTAACGTTCCTGTTGAACGTCAAAGATGGCTAAATATGACTATAGTTCGGTAATAAACTATATTTGGAATCGTCAAATTCGACAAATGAATACAATTTTACAGTTATCACACAAGTGGTAGTAATTTTTTCATAATTTTAACTAACAGAAATATCACTAGCGGGCGAAGTCCGAGAGTGGGATTTCTCAATAGGGACGAAGACCAATGATAAATCTAATTAAAATAACCACCACGAATGTTATTCGGCGTGATTATTTTTCCAACTATTCCGCAAAATGCTCAACGAAAAAACATTTTACAGCCACATAATACGGTTTTGCGTCATTTCTGTTCGAACAAACTATGAATTAAATTGTCTTACCGAATTACACTCTACAGGGTGACATAGAAAGAAGTACATTGCATAGTGCCACACAATAGAGGATACTAAAATAAGGAAAAAAGTTCCTATGAACATGGGTCCGCAACGCCTTCGGTTAAAAGATACGGGGTGTTGAATTTGAATTTTTTTTTTGGGTTCTCTTTGAATATCTTTAGCCAGAGACGCAAGAAATGGATAAAATTTGGTATACAGGAGTATTTTATCATGCTGAATTCGAATATGATCTTAGTTTTGTGATGACGCTACATATACAGGGTTCCATCCCTATTGAATCGGTCGTTACTTCTTTGTATATTATTTTCGACGGAAAAAAATTTGTTGTCCCTTCTTTTATACTTAAGAAAGGTATACCTTGTCCAAGTCGCTAGAAGCAATGGTTCCAGTACAAATGCATCTAAAAGCCGACAATGCACGCAAATTATTCAAAAAGCGCCAAAGGAACTTTTGCAAAAACAATGATAAATACTTCAACAATTACATTTCAATGGTATGATGAAAAATATGATCAAGTAGAACAAAACATTAAGTTTTTAGAAGATGTTCAAATTGTTGCCCTAGTACTTCAATACATTTTTCCATTCTTCTTCTTAATGATTGACGGCATCTTTGGAATATTCCTCGGTTATTACGAAATCTATCTGCCGATTCCATAATTCTTATCCATAATTGTTCTTCATTATGTATTTCTACTGCATAAACTTCATTTTTCATAAATCCCCAAAATGAAAAATCTAGGGGATCGGATTCTCCAAGAAAAAACTGCAGTTTTTTCGTCAAATTGCCGGGCAACAAAATTCTTATTGATACATGTCAAGTTTACGTCGACAAAAAAAGCTCTCGTGTAATAATAATAAGTGACGAATTTTTTCCAGGTGGAATTACTGCGGAACAGCTTATCGAAAACCCGCGTTAAAGTATCGCAAGCCCTGGAAAGCATGGTGCAGCATGTGGAAATCTACATGGAATACGACCCCCTGATCACCCCCACTCAGCCATCCAACCCCTGGGTGAGCGAAGATCTGACCTACTGGCAGCTGAATAGCCCGCTGTAAGTGCCGTTGTCGATTCAATTTGCATTTTCGATTGGTAGTTGTACATTATTTCATTGGTATCGTGGGGTGTGGCAACAATGCGAAGAGCGCAAAGAGATAGATTGCCGCTCGACGTGAAGCGGAGTGCGGTAATAATACTTTGTGTTTGAAGTACAGGGTAGCTGGAGTTCGACCTTCATCATCGGGATCTCGTGAACCGTGAGAGATGCAGGGTCGGTTAAGTTATGGCCTAATTTTATGCCTAACAAAATGCTGTCATGAAATTTGGGAAATTCTGAATACTTTTTTTGAGAAAAAAAAACGAATATATGCGATTTCATTCTTATTGTTTCATGACTCTATTTATATAGATGTGACGATAGTTATTTTTGTATCTAGAGCGCAAAATGCTACTTTCGTGATCAAGATCTGATTTTTTAACGAGGCGTAGCTGATTCAAAAAAATAGCCGAGATGACCACAGTATTTCGCGCCCGAGTTGCAAACAACATTTTTTCTACGTAGGTAGGTACTTCGTGCACTCTTTTACTTCGCGTATTGTCTTGTGCAAGGTATCATGGTTACGTAGGAAACTGAAAAAATGTGTCACTTCGCAATTTGTTATCAATGCGCGAACCTTGTCATTTTTTGACCTTTGTAGAAAATAGCTATTTGTGTATTTAGAGCGCAAAGTGATAGATTGCCGCTTGACAAAGAGAGTTACCGCGCGATGCGGAGCGAAGCGCGGTAATCTTTGGAGAGCGGCAATGACACTTTGTGCTCGACAAACACAAGACTTTTTCTACTAACGCAACTTTTGGAAATAACTTCCTTGAAAGTATGAGCGATTGAAATAGTTGAAATAGTTCTTATTCATATTATCCCATATGTCCAAAGAAAACAAAAAAAAACTTAAATTAACTGACAAGCCAGAAAAAAAATGTCGCGCCTACCGAGAATTGAAACTGGACCACCAGCGTGGCAACCTGAGCTTCAGACCTCTGAGCCATAGTACAATAAACTCTGCAATCAAATTGAACATTACTCATTGATGCAATAAAATGAAGATACACTGTCTTTCTGATGATAACAAAGAATTTAACTATAAAGTATAATTCACCCATTTCAACAGATATTCTTCATCGGGAGCTTCTTGTAGAAATTTGTTGGTATATATCTTCAGCGGTGAATGTTTTGGATTTGTCTCGCTCTATATCCATAGATTGTTTCTTGAGAAATGCGATAAGTTTCAGATACTTATTGATTCCGATATTAATTTTAACATTCAAGCATGTATACGTACCATCGAATATATAAACCAATGAGTTGATGACTCCAAAGTCTTTGATTTTTCACCAAAATAAGCCAGTAAAACGTTTTCTGAATACATATTCACCATCTTGAAGTGGCACCAATTTATGAATGTATCATATTGTAATTCATATTTCTTCCTTGATTTATCCGGTAAGAGATTCAAACTTTTGCGCTTTCTGCTATATCAGGAGGTGTGTTTGATGGTTCACTGTCACCATTTTCCATCATGAAAGAATTGGGGATTTTCAAGAATAGATAAGTATAGGTTAGAGATGTGCGAGCGTTTTTTCAATATTTCCGCTCACGAGCGCAAATGCTGTCAAAGAATGACATTTCTGGGAAAACGTCAACTTTGTGTTGGAATTTGAAAACGTCAAAGGCAACTTTGTTAAGCGTTTGTAGAAAAAACCAATTACACATTCTCATTGCTACTTTTTCTGTTCTACAAGATAGTGTTAACAAATTTTCAAACCGACGTTTCGTCTTCGAGCTGTCATCATCAACTTTGTTTTTTTGACACGACCCAGTATTTTTTATTATGGATGTTGAGAGCTTTCGATCTCCCAAAACCAACGGTGCATCGCACTCATTCGTTAAATTCATACAAATTTGAAGTTTGACCATCATATATCAGCTCTTAAGAAAAAAATATCAGCTGGCTGCTTCGCAGTCAATGCGATATCCCGTGAACTTGGATTGCAAGCTTCAATATCAGCATACTACTCACTTATTGAATCGCATCTACGGTATGGAATTTCATTCTGGGGGTGTAGCTGTCATGGTCTCTTAAATAGTGTTTTCGTCCTTCAAAAACGAGCTCTGAGATTTGTATTCAAACTCAAGCCGCGTGACTCATGCAGGCCAATGTTTCACAACATAAGATATTGACGTTCTTTGAAATTTTCGTTTTAGAAACAGTCTGTTTGCTTCACAAATATAGAAGAAATTTCATGAACGCAAACATAGACAAGATTACGCGTAATAAAAGGAACCTTGCTCTTCCTCTGCCTAGTTCATCTAACGAGACAATCCTTAATTTATAGGAGTAAAAAGATTTACAATCATTTACCAGAAGGTACAACTATGATCAATGAATTGGAACAATTCCGTAGATCTGTCAAAGATATGTTAGTGGGAAAAGGCTTGTACAGTTTGGATGAATACTTTGCCTACAAATTCTAGTCTTTTTATGATATGTGAGAATAATTAGAGATTCATATTATTGATTTTAAAGATAATTGTTGTTTGTAATAATAATGAAACTTGTCTATGTTATTTTATTTTATATATTTTTGTTCTGTATTATTTTTATATATTCCTGTTCTGTTTTATTTATTTATAATCTTGCAATCAATGTATCGCAAGATATACTGACTTTGTCGACAAAATGTGCTCATTTTAGACAATAAAGCTTATCTATCTATCTATCTAATATTATAAAGACGCGATAAAATGCTTCACTCCTACGGGTAAGAGGACAACGGGTAAGAGTTAGAGTGCCTCGAACATCTCATTTTACGCTCTTTACAGAATGTGGACACACTTGTCATCTTGTTGAACAAAGAATATAAGATACGATTATGTATGTATTATATTTTTTCTGTGACGGGAAAAAAGTTTGGCATTTCATCTCTGTTGGCAGGTTATAAAATGTCACTTATCATAAATTACTTTTTTCCCGTGGAAAAAAAGTGAGTACTTTTTTCCCGGATATATATCAAATTATATACACTGTTGATGGCTATTGTTCTGCTATAGTTCCGAAAAATGAGTCAATAATACCGTCTCCGAGAAAAAACTGCAAAATCCTTTTATCTTCCATTCGAATTCGCGGTTACGTATATTACTAAACAACCACTAAACTTGAAATTTTTTGAAATCAAATCACTGAATTAGTCTGACAGAAGTGACATTAGATATTTGATTACCTACTTCAAAAGAATGACAAAGATGCCTACAACGCAGGTGTCCCTACTGTTAAAAACTTGAAATTTCACGTCGATAATTTTCAGATTTCAAAATAATTTAATATCTTCTCAATATTGATTCTTCCTTTCTTATGTCACAGAAAAAAATAGTGTTTTATACACAGGAACTTTTTTCCCTTGTATAATAAATAACTATATTTGAAACCCTAACATTGGCGTTACACCAAAAGCACATAATGGTCACTGTGTAGTTATATATTTATTAATATTAGTTCAATGAATGTATTTCCATGGAATGAATATTGGAATTTAAAGCTTCAACTCAAATGAATGTTAACCATAATTCTCAGAATTTTTGCAATACGTTACCGAACAATAAGATTTATCCGAAGATATTTTCGCGGGGACGGCTATAGTCAATTTTCAAAACTGATGTTTCCAATCTGGCAATTCAAAAATGTCAGTGATGGCAAGCGTGTCCACACTCTTCAAAGGACAAACAATAGGCGTTTTCGCAAACTTACTCGGCTTGACCAGATCCCTATCCTGAACGTTCGGTTACCTAAACCGAGTCACCTACCTCTGTTTGGAAACATGAATGTTGTTAACTGTTCGTAATGAAATTGTGGAGGCTGAGTTTGGTCAGGAAGTTATATTCTGGTTGGTCATTTTTGTAGTGATTTAGGCTTTCAAGGATGTTTTTCCTTCCTCCCGAGACCTCGAAGGTTTCGTTAAGTATTTTACAGCGATTGCGAATGCGCATGCGTCCATAGGCGTATCACGTGATTCACTGTGGCCAATCTGACAATGAGGTTTGGGAACTTCAAGATCTCGTCTCACACTGCGAGATCGTGGGTTCGATTCCCAGCCAGGGCAAAGAACTTTTTTCAATATTCAATTCACGAATTGAATATTGTTAAAGTTACGGAGCATCGGCCGGGGATAGTCCTGCACGATTCGATGTTACGTTCCAATTGAAAGTGCTCCTTCTAAAGTGGCGCATGGAGTTAGAAACAGAGCCTAAACAAAACACATAGGGAGAAATAATGATGATGTGGTTGTGAGCATCAGAGGACGGTCTATGTAGGTGGTTGTGGAAGAACTACCAGCTGAGCGTGAGAGCGGGCCAACGCTGCTTAGTGGGAGCTTCGACGTGGCTTAACGAGGAAGCTGTCAGGCATTGCCATTGCCATTGCAGCATACGGTAGTGAGCCTACAAAAGTACAAACACAACGGAAAAACTCTGAGAAAGAGCTGATGGACTGTACCTGAAAAAAGGATGTTAGCCAGCTGTCTTAAGCCAACCACATCACTCATTACACACATTGGGGCTTGTAAAAAAGTTTCATGAGAGACTAGTTGCTGACGTGCAAACATCTCCCATTCCAACCAGTACCAGTGAGAACCCATCTAAATACTGTCCGTAGGTTAATCGAGGAGGTGGTACATTCACTATACCAGATTTTTGGGGATTTTCTCTCCTCGTTTCTATAAAATGAAAATATGAATATTATATCAATATACAAATCAGATGATTTGTACCAAAATGTCACTGCGTTTAAAGGATTTTCCAATCAGAGAGCTAGTGAATTTTTCTTTCAGGCTCTCTGATAGGAAAATTCTTTAAACGCAGTCACATTTTGAGGCGAATCATCTGATTTGTCCTTACTACACGTATATGAAAACGATATTCATATTTTATTATATTGAATCAAGGAGAGGAAATCCCAAAAAAAACTTGAATAATTAAGAACCCATCTGTTATAAGAGGAAGAT